TATTACTGCATGTGATGTCTTCTACAAAGCAATCAAGGAGGGGACCTATCACTAAGCAGATTGTTAGTTAAATTACTAGAGGAGCTTAAGTCCCTCTCGAGACCCACTTAAGCAGTAAGACGATTTTATGGGCCCCATCTGTTAGCCCACTAAGGGACAGCATTTGTACAACTGACCAGAATAGATCCAAATCCCATCCAGCAATGAAATAAATTAATATATTTTTGAGTTGTTATTTTTGAAATTTGATTTGCAATTAATGATACTGACAATTACATAAAACAATCTATTTTTTTTTCTCATCCATACCAAATTTTAAATTTCATTAATTTTTTTCATCCTTGCCTCCGTCCATAATCATAATATAACCATGACAAACGACTCATACTGAAACCCTCCACATCCAGCTCCAACCTAAAACAGTGAATCTAAAAACAGACAAACAAAACTTATCCTTAGCCTATTCCCAAATTCTGAATTTATTAAAACATCCATAACTATTTCCTTTCCTTTTCGCTGACAACTTCCTTATTTTTGTATATATATATATATATATATATATATATATATAATTAAACTATCACTTAATTATCCATAATATTTATGAGTAATATATTATGGATTTTACGCTTTTACGCTTCCGGTACTTTAGTTCAAACTTTGTCAGTCCACCGTCAGAGATGACGCAACAATACATCTCCCCCCCCCCCTCCCTTACTACAATATCTCCGCTCAATCCGAACTATCTCTTCAAATAGGATGGTTTTCTATCTTTTTGTAGTTTTCTCCTTTATTTTTTTTCTTCCTTCCTTTAACTCTGTATTCTATTATACGTAGTCAGTACATTTTGATATACATTACAATATCTCAATTTTCTATCTAACTATTCTATTTACAATTTCTTAATTTTACTATTTATTTTAATTTCTTATGTAACTTTATATTCCGTTTCTCTGTTTTACATTTTATCATAAGATTACCAATTTAGTACTTATGTCACCTTATTTTGATTATGTTTACTTTATTATTCCACACTTTGTAACGGTTATTATTATTTATTTCTTAGTTCTTATTATTGTCATTATTCTACCTTCTTTTTACTTTAATATTTTTTTACCTACATTTTTTATGATTCTTATACCTTGTTGTCTGGCTCTTTTCTTAGCCCTGATGAAGTCCTGAACTTCAGGTTGAAACGTCGGCAAATGTTAAAATAAATATTATTATTTATTTTTGCCTTTTTATTTCTGACTGATCACCCCAACCGTCTTTCTCTTCATTAATCATTATTTAAATTTCATTGAGTGTCTGTCTGTTGAATTCGACATTCTATGATATGCAACTTTTTTTTTCCAATGTGCCAGGTAGAAACTTATTTTTAAGTATTAAAAAGAAATCTTCAAATTTTGTTGGGACTCAGAATTAGAACCAAACTGAAGATTTTTTTTTATTTTAGTCTATGGATAGCTACCGGATTACTTCCCAAACTGGCAGCTTTTCCGCATACTCACTTTTTTTCGAATTGACATTAAAAATCAGACAAATATCGAATATACAAAAGTATCAAACCCATACGGACAGTCAACTAACAGATTTACCGTTCACTATAATCTTTTCAATGTAAAATTTTAATTCTAATAACGAGGAATGTGTGACAAGTATTTTTTCTTTTTATTATCCTTCTAATTTTTTTTCTTCCTCTTTTTACAGGTATTTTATATTTTCGTAATTTTTTTATTGTAGGATTTATTTTTTACTTACATGTTTTCTTCTTATTTCTTTCTTTCTCAAATTCGTATATAACAGTATGAATGTACATATAGAGCCTTAATACTCAATGCCTTTGATTGATGTAGATTGTATTATTATTCTTCCAATAAAAGTTTTGAGTTCCAGTAAAAATTCTAATAACAGCAGCTGCATGGTACATTATGAATTACGACAACCTTCGACGAATACATGGTCTATTTACTATTTACTACTATGACTATTTACTTCCGATTTCGTATTAAATACATGGATATAACAATAAACTTAAACGCGACTGGTAGTAGCTGGATGAAGGATTCCTGAATCAAGAGAGTGCAAAGACCAAAACGAGGTGCTGCTGTTTGTTATCTACCCTGATTCCTGAAACACCATTTTTCATATATATAAAAACAACACATCTGCTTGTTTTCAAGTTCATGAAAAGTGCGGATCAAGATTTGATAGAAAAAAAATAGTATTTAAATGTCTTTTAGGATCTTGTCTACCAGATGAATCTACCCACCTAGGACGAGTATACAAAGTTTTTTGCATCAGGTAAAAATCTATAGAACTTAATATAAATTTAATATAGAACAAGAAATAGAAGTATTCAAATATGTTAACATTGTTAAGATTTTTTAAAAATATTATCTTGCCCTATGAATGTGACAACTAAGAATGGGTAGATTAAGATTTTTCAGCTGTTAAACTCTAATGAGAATATCAAAAGTTTGATCTAAATTAATTCTAGTTATAATTGGTCTTAAAATGTAATTTAATAACTTAAAGAATACTGTCATTTCTGTTACTTTTCAATTCATTGTAAATAGTCCATGGTACAGACCCCTTTTTATCAAATTATTAACATCTGCCTGAAACTTCTATATAGCTTCATCTCATCATAACCTAAAAATATTTTATTTACGAAAACTCTGGGAATTAGGACATTTAAAATCTGGAGATCGGCATACTTTGTCTATTTAATTAGGTACTAGAAACTTATGAATACCAATTTTCTTTTAGCTTGAATCGTATGATGATAAGATCACAAAGTCGAAAAAGAAGATGGCCTACAAACATATTGGTCCGTTCGGCGTGACCTCAACCTCAAAGTAACGAGATTACATAGACCGAACGGCCCAACATTTTTGTAGGCCACCTTATTTTTTTTATTTAAAATCATATTTTCTTACGATTCAAGTGGAAAGCAAAAAAGTATTCATGAGTTTTTATACCTAATCAATTAGACAAAGTTTGCCAATCTTCAAATTTAAAACACCCCAATTCCCAGAATTTTCGTAAATACAATATCTGTAGGTTACAGGATTTGTAGGTAGGGAGCTATTTACGAAGTTTCCGACGTATGTTAATAATTTGATAAAAAGGGGTACGTATCACCAACTATAACTTTGATAGTTGGCCTTTTCCCTGAGTTGAATGTGACGTTTTCTGGAACAAAATGTGATACATTAAAACATTGTAATGTTCAATGCTCAGTGTGATGAATAATGTAATTCGTTTATCCACATATGAGTATAGAACTCATATTTTATTTGTGTGCCTAATAGAAATGGTAAGGAATCTATACTGACCTACTGGGCACACCTCATCTACTTGTGGAATCCTTATGTGATTTGCAAAATGAAATTTAAAAAAAAATCAAACTTAATTATTATTTTACGAATACAAAATAAAAACGGCGGAATAGTACCAGAACCCTCATCCGTGGTGAGACATAGATATAAAGAATCAAGCTGAGGAGTCGCCATGACAGGCCCCCAGGCTCAATCCCCCCCATTGCCCCCTCCTTCTCCCTCCCAGTCGTTATGCAAAGGACCTGAAGGATAACAAGATACCCTGACCCTCTTTCAGTCAGAGGTTTATCCAAACCCTACCTCACTCGCTACTTCATCAGTCCTTACTTTCGCATTCTGTTCGTTTTTACCATACTCTGTTTACTCGGGTTTATTCACTGATATTTTGAAAAAAGAAAGGAGAAAAAAATGAATCTGCAGGAATGGAAGATATGTTTACTGTCAAAGGACGAAGATAGGATGTATCTTTCGAACATTTACATTATTAGGTTCATTATTCGAGCAATGATGCAAGTACAATATTTAAAACTTGGAGCGCGTCATATAACTTTCACATGCCATTCATTCTACATTAGATGCAGAATTTTTTTTTCAAAGTTTAACCAGCACCTTTCATAAATTTGACAATCTGCAGATTTGGTGTAGAAAATTTGGAAAATAGGATTTTATAGATGTGGAAAGATTGGTGGAAAGATTTTATACATGTGCTCTTTATTTCATTCAATAATTCAAGAAAGAAGATCGTCAAGCACCTCTTTAGCCGCCTCTTGATTGACATTATGGATTCTATTGTGTCTCAATACAATATATTGACTAATGTTATTGCCGACCACTGGTTTAAGGAGCTCCTAAAAACACCTATTATTTTTCTCACACAGTAAGTTTACAAAGCCAAGTACATAAAAGTAAATAATCCATGGTATCCTTTTCATCAAACCGTTAACATCCGTTAGAAACTTCGTAAATAATTTCATCTTATCCTATCTTGCAACCATTATTTACGAAGATTTTCGGTATCGGGTGTTTTCAGTCTGGAGAACGGAAAACTTAGTCTGTTTAATTAGATAATCAAAACTAGTGAATACTAAGTTGCTCTCCACTTGAATCGTCAGATAATTTGTTCACACAATAGAGAGAAAAGGTGACCTACAAAAATATTTGGCCGTTTGGCCAGATCTACGCCCCCAACATTTCAAAATAATCAGGTTATATAAGCCAAACGGCCAAATATTTTTGTAGGCCACCATTTTTCTTTAGTCTTAGTTCAAATAATCTTACGATCCAGGTGAAGAGTTTTTAGTACCAAATTAAATAGACAAAGTTTACCGATCTTCAGATTGAAAACGTCCCAATTCCAAGAGTTTTCTTAATTACAATAATGAATACAAGAAAAGTTGGGATGATCATTCAGAAATAAGGTGGCAAAAATTAATAATAATATTTATTTTAACATTAATAAAATAGTTGTAGGTTAAGATGATATGAAGCTATACCATGGAATATAACTGTTTTTGTTTTTTTATGTTCGAAATATTTATTATTGTCCTTAATCCAAAAATCCAAGGATTATAAAGACCAATTTTACATCTAGAGTTTTTTTTTTATTTAATGGCTGTGGTATATTTTTATATCATTATAATAACAGAAAAATAGTTATTAAAGACTCACGGAGGTGTTCTCATCGTGGGGCTGGTAGTAACAGTGAAGGGTGAACTTGGTCCCGGCTTGGACTGTGAAGTTGCTCCAGCCGCTGCTCACTGCGAGGCCTCGCGGGGTAGTCGAAGGAGATGCAGTTGTCTCGATCTGCAGCTCGTTATGACCAGCCCCACCTGAATAGAGAAGGTAAATAAGTAATAGATGCATTTTTGGAATCTTATATTTTGTTTATTATACTTATATTTATATCTTACTTATTAAGTGGAATAATCATTCAGCATAGTATAGTATGTGGCTTCATCAATTGTTCGTGAATTTTATATAAATTTCTGATAATAATATGTTCTAAAAAGGATTAAACATTTTTTGCCTAACATTACTTATATTTCCAACTTATTAGAGAGAGAAATTATAGATGATTAATGCGAAAGTTATCGCAGAGGTATACAAGTTGAAAATATATTTGATCACAATACTGTATTTTTAAATCACTATATTATGGTATACCCTAGTCGAAGTTTATCTAGTGTTGCCCAAATGCGAGACCAAGACGAGTCTTGGTCTTGCAAACTCAGTCTTTGTCATGGTTTTGGTCTTGCAGTTACTTATTAGCTTATTACTATAGATATATTATTATAATTTTTTAGATAAGGGAACTTAATTAAGCCCGAATGAAAAATTAGAGGAAGTAAATCCAAAAGTATATTGGTAATACCAATTATTAACATATATTAACTAAGTTTGTCAAGTACCTGTAATTATTTTGCCTTAATTCTTACTTAAAAAAATGATTTTTTTTATGAGTCCTGGTATTGGTCTTGCAACAGTTTGGTGGCCTTGGTCTTCGTCTTGCAAAGTGCAAGACCAAGGCCGATTTTGAGCAACACTAAGTATATCAAAGAACATTAATACTGAATACCACAAATATAAGGAAACCGTCTTCTTATTACGATTCTGAATTTTCACGAGTGTGGACGTCGAGAATAATTTTTTATTGATTTATTTATTTCTTCTCTAGAAAACGCTTTAGATCTTCCTCCTTCCAGTTTATTATCTTTTCCTATATAATTAGATTATCCTTAAAACTGTACAAGAGGATTTCTTAATTCGAAGTACTGTGGAATCACTTACTATAAACTTTGGACAACTTAATAGTAACATATTTTTTTCTAAAAGTCCTTTCGTATCGGAAGTTTGTTGTCAGCAGTGGCTAACGAATGTATTTTCCCCGAATATATTTGTCCCCGGATGTATTTTCTTGAATAGAATAATTAACCAATATTAGTGATCAGGGTTCTAACGCTAGGAAAAGAAGGAGCAATATAGAAGTGCTTACAGAAACTGATCAATAAATATCTCATGATATAAAAGAAAGGTGGTTAAGAGATCGGTGATTTCAGATCCAGCCCTGTAAATAGCCTAAGTGTCGAAGCTGTCGAGCTTCCGCTTAAACAACTTGACCTCATTTACTTTGTTAAGATCTATTCTGCTTCTAATCATCCACTGACTGATTTATTTTCAAATATACAATACATAAATCAACAAAAAACTGAATTATCAAATATAATACCCTTTACAATCAAAGTTTCAACTTTACTAAATAATATAAATATTGAACTATTTTTGAAGAAACTGCAGTTTCACCAATTTGTCCTTGGGAACTTCCCACTCCAAAAATTCTTCTTTCTCTCACCAAATTTATTAAAACAACACAGTGCCTTATATATATATATAAACAGGAATTTCTCAAACTTCAAGACAGACTAGGTGATTCTGACTTTATCTACAATGGCGGCTCGAAGAGCTCCGCAGGCGTGGGAGCATCATTTATATGTAACATGTTTTTTCTCTTTCATCTCTATGTAATAATTATACTGCTGAATTGGTTGCAATACATAAAAGTTTAAATGTTATACAGCGCACTAAACAAAAAATGGTCTTTTGCAAAGATTCTCTATCCGCCCTAATTAGTCTTGAAAATGTTTTCTCATCTAATATCATAATACAAAACATTATGTATTCAATAAAGTCCACAAATAGAAATAATACACCATTATTTTTTGTCTGGGTCCCTGGGTATTATGGAATAGCCGGTAATGAACTGGTTGATCGAGCTGCAAAAAAGCCATTACTGATGGAATACCTTATCGGGGAGTACCTGTAGAGGATTTTATAACCGTCATCAAACAGAAAATGAAGACAAAATGGGAACAGGTATGGTCGAATGTCACTGAAAATAAATTGAGGAAGGTCAAGGGTGACGTTTCCTCTTGGGCATCGTCAAATAGGAATAACCGCAGATAGAAAGTAATTCTTAAGGGCCTGCGTATAGGTCATACACGCCTTACTCATGGATACCTGATGGCCCGTGATTCTTCGCCAACATGCCAAACCTGTGGGACTCCTCTGACAGTGAAACACATTTTAACAGAATGCAGAGCTTACGAAACATTTAGACTATCTTGTGACTTGACAAACGATCTACACTTCATTTTACAGGACAATACGAATGAAATTGATAAATTATTTTCTTTTCTGAAATGTTCTAAACTTGAAAATACAATCTAATTCTCAATGAAAATAAGGCAATAATGACCCTAGTGGTTAAAGCGTTAAAATATAAAAAAATAAATAAGAGATAGAAGGGGCACGTAGCTCGGAGGGATCCATCGGGTAGCCTTTGAACAATAATGGATGTTGCAATAGTAGTCAAGGGAGAACATGAAATATCAAAAAACAAAATGGATAGATCAAATCAACAAATATGCTATAGAGCTGCATGCAGATAATTGGAATGAATTGCCCTTAACGTGTTTACCTTGGTATAGACGACTATACCTCTAAAATAACACTTTCGATTTGGCTCAAATTCGGAGGGAGGTTAGGGATTGGTAATCAGGTAATCAAGTATGTATCAACATTACCAAATTCTATACCCTTCTCAAAAAAAAAATATATATTGCCGCTTTAGGGTCAGTGAACATATTATTCGTGTTTTACTATTAGAAATTTTTTATTCTGACAACAATACTTTTTTTACAATAAAAAGCTTCTCTACCTTCGGTAGTACGAACGCATAAAACGGAAATTGAACTTTATTTAGCACCAACGTCCAAAATCGTGTTGTTTTCTTTGCCTATTCCATTCATAAGATTTTAGAAAAAAACTTATTCAGAAATAAATCCACTTTTACTTCAGAACATTTGACCCGAAAAGTTTTCCATGAAGCCGTGTTGACGATGAGTTGGGGTTGACAGGAGAGGTCGAAAGTTAGTTCTTGTTAGTTAGGCACCAAATCGGAAAGTTAGGGTTAGTTCGGGGGATAGGGAAGAAAAAGTTGGTCTCATCTACTTCTGATCCCGCGCTGAAGTTTAGACGCTAGGCTCTGGCTGTCGGTTGCCGAGCCTTAGTCAAACTGTCTAATTGTTAGCACAGGCAGTAAAAAGTGTTTAAAATGAGTGTTTTTTGTTCAGTTGGCATTACAGACTGTGTTGACTTTAGCCATTTGAACCAATCTCAAGACCTCTCCATATCGTAGACAAAGTTGAAGACCAAAAATCAGACAGATAGACAGAATCAACTTACTTCAGAGCTGCATGCAGCAAACTGGAAAGCAGCGGTATAGTTAATAATATCTACCATTAAAGGAAGATTGTCCTATAAGGATATGAAGTTTTTTTTATTATTGTTCCATATTTATTAGCACGGGAGGAATAAATCAGGCAGGTCCCTTATAAGATGATTATTAATTTATAAATAAAAGAAGTACAAGTAATGCCGATCCAATTGCACTAAAAAATGCATATTCCACATATGGTTTACGAAAAAGGTAGCCTTCGATCACCTTATTCAATATATCATCTATTATTCTGAAAAGAAAAATTTTCTAATGAGTATAAATCAGGCATGTTAATTATACCCGCTTTATTGGAAGAAATCATGAAAATTATTTTTAGGCTCATTTTTCCTTACAATAATAGGCCTTTTTGTTGTACTGAACCTCTTGGAAATGGTGGTGGAATGCATTGTATTCAATTTTTTTTTCTCCCCTTCATTTCTTTTTCGGTTATAAGAAGTTTTTTCCCAGGTCAGGGGAGAGGTCTGGAGATTAACGCCAGATTTAAAAATGCCCTCAGACTTGAGATTCCAACTTGTAATATTCAGTTTATCAGGTACCCTGGCAAAGCCCACACTAAAAAAATGTATGTGTTTTTGAAAAAAAAAAAAAAAAAAAGACACGTATCCTAGAAGTAAATCGTGGTGACTCGGACAGAATAAAATGGTGTGGTTGGAGAATTATGTCCGAAGGAGAACATTTAAAGATTTTACATTAAGACATTCAACACTTCCAATGTTAACGACTCTCGTTACACCATAGTTTGCCGTTACGGCCATTAGTATTTATAGGGGCAAATATAATTCTTTATTTTTGGCACCAGCGCTGTTTTCATATTTAATTTTATCTCAGTTCAATAGAAGCTCCCAAAATTTATTTTCGCGCAGGCGACACTACGTTGTAGTCATGGAATGAAGTAAAAGTTTAGTGTTTTTCACAGTCGGATCTACTGGGAGGGAAGGGGCGTTCTGTCTGAAGCTCCCCCCTTCAAATGGTAAAATATAACCATGTTTTATGAAATTACCATGTTCGTTAGTTTCTTTCTTTTGCTTCAAAAGTAATTATTGTTATATCTGAAAAAAAAAAAAACCTTTTGGGCTGAACCTCCTCCTCTCCCGTCCCCCAAAATGAAGTCCTGGATTCGTTAGTGGTGTTTTTCTCTAGTTTCGAGTTTTTTTAAATTTTTTGTTTGTTTATTTATTGTATATTACAACAATCAGTCTCTTGAAAATTAGTTATAGTGAAATAGGATAACTTTCACACCATATCTACAGAAAATATAAAATAAACAGAAGCAAAATAATAATCAAAAAGTATATGCAGTAAATTAAATAAAATAACCTAAAAATAAGACAATTAAAACTAAGCAAAAGACACATGCATGTCTATATATAATATATAGTGTCGAAAATCACACTAAATCAAATATTATTTAGGATGATAAAAGAAAAAAAATCATAACAAGCGTGATTTAATTAAACGCGAATTTGTTTTATTCTTTTCGTTTTTATACAATTATTCACGATTCATAGTAGCTGAATAAAAATTATGTAAGTGATTCATTATTGTAATAAGATGTGATAACGGATTA